TGAGAATGATGAGGGCAATGAATGTACAAATGTGCTTTACACAATTGATGTATGTATGTATTGTGATAAGAGTTGTATGAGCCCCTAATAAAACTATTTTTAAAAAAATGGGACCAGCTGTATTTATTCTTATTTTTAGAAGATTGCTTTTTAGCTTCATCATTCTAAAGTTTTACAAGTATAAATACTTTATAATTTTCCAAAGGCTTTCAATATAATTTATGTACTACATACCTGAATTTCATACTCCAAAAAATCGTAAAAATTGAAAGAAAACTAGTACAAAGGGAGTTTACCTGTATGAGCGCCGGAATAACCATTCTCACGGTCTTGTTAATGACTTGAAAACTGTAAGTATCATCTAGACGCATGACACTGGCACCCATGAATGTAAAAATTGACATGATATTGTGTAGAACTTTATCCTGCAAAAAAATAAATAAATAAAATTGATCAATAGTTTCTATTTCAAACATACCAATTGTCAATGAATCACTACCAAAGGAGGGGGGGGGCGGAGCAAATAATTAAAATAGTCTGGAATTCTCCCAAAGGTCAGACATAAGCACTGGCATGTGACCCAGCATGTCTACTCCTAACTATAAACCCAAGAGAACTCACCCGATCTGTATATACAGCAATCTGTGCATGACTGTTCACAGCAGCATTAACTTTATTGGCCAAAATGTGAAAACAACCCAAAGCCCGTCAGTAATTGTAGGGATAAACAAGGTATGTCAGATCCGTACAATGGAATATTATTTAGCCATAAAAACGAATGAGGGACTAATTCATGCCATACTATGGATGAGTCTTTAAAACATGGCAAGTAAAAGTCAGATACCAAATGGCTTTGTTACATCTTGTAAGATTCCATTTATATGAAATGTCCAAAAGGTGTAAATCCATGGTTGTTCGGGCCTGGGTGGAGGGTGGAACGGGAGTGCCGGCTGGTGGCAGAGGCCTTTGGAGGTACTGGATATGCTCTGGAATTACAGAGTGGCAATGACTGCACAACTCTATTAAAACTACTGAATTGTGCACTTTAACAGAATGAATTTTATACTATACAAATTATATTTCCATTTAATAAAAGGAAAAAGGATTCTGAGTTCTTAGCTCTTTCTGGATGATCAACTATTTTTGAGTTATAAACTCTCTTCTAAGGGGAGAAAAGATCCCATAAACAAAATCTTGCACATGGTTTCAGTACATAAAACAACTCAAGAGTACACAGAGAGCCCGTGTTCTAATATCAATAGGCTGTTAAACACTTTTTAAATGTACCGGACATTACTTCTGTAACTGTAATTTACAATAACACGGTTTCAGTCACTGGCTGGAAGCTGCTTAGATCAGCAACCGAGAGTAGCCTGAACTCAGTCCGAGGGTTAAAAACCCCCCACAAACTCAGTGCCAACGAGTTGATTCTGACTCATAGCGACCCAATGGGAGAGGGTAGGACTATGGAATGTGTAGCCAGGAGCCCAGCAAGTCACCCAACTACATCACCAGGGCTAGAAGTCTGGAGGGGAGGGGAGTGAGATATTCGCTACCACTTACTGGACAGTCAGTTACTTTATACGAGGCATTGTGCCAAGTGTTAAACACAAGTTATTCAATCAAATCATCACTACAATCGTTTGAAGGACGATTCTGTAAGTCACCCTTTGTAAAAGGGAAATTGATGTCTAGCAAGATCAACCCGCTCAATTTGTCCCTGATATTAAAGAGAGAGGGTTGAGATTAGTACCCAGGGCTATGATTCAAAGCCCACTGAATTTAAACCTATACGTGCCTGTGCATTTCCATGGATGAGCAAACTACAATCGCTGGTAAATGAGAGTTACTTTATAAATACTTACGGGAAATATTCCGGCAACAACACCCAGCAGTAAAAGGGCGTGGTGATGGGTTTGAGGCATCTCAGAAAGACGGATGCACTGGACGATCAGCTCCACATTGAACTTTTCCTCATCTAGAATGTCTTCAGGGGTCAGAAAGGTTACAAAATGTCTAAGTGGCAGGTATATTTACACTTAAAGTAAATAATTTCCCCACTTTTTCCATTACAAGACATACCTTTAGGTATCTTGCCACCATCTGGAGAGAGTTTTTGGCAGATGTTGAGCAGGCAACTGAGAATTAATTGTTTGGTGTACTCCATATTTCCCTGGTCCACTGACAAAGGTTCTAGACTTCTTCAGAACAGCCCCCGACCGAAAGAGAGGATGGAAAAAGAAAGAGTTGTACAATCTCAGTGACACCACACCATGACCATCGTTCAGAACTCATCCAATAAGGAACAACTAAAATGCCATCATCAAAAATAAATATAACGCCCACACTATTTTCTCATTGTAGCAAGTGCTTACGCCAATAGCTCTTCAATGGACTTTCTATTTGCCTATAAGGACTCTTCAGAGGAAAACCTTGCAAATTATTTTATCAGGTAGAAGCATACCTTCAGCATTCAGTAACATTCTTGCGACATTTGTTAAGACTTTATAGCTGAAAAATACAGGTGGTTCTCTACTTCTTTAACTATAAGTACCACCAATGCCTCCAAAAGGTTACACAACCTTCCTAGGGTTGTGGAATTCAAATTCAAGAAGAAATGTGAGATGGAAGGGAATTTCCTAAGTAATAAAAAGAATGAAGATCCATTTGGGCACCGGCTACTTCAATCTTCCACTACAGTCTTCATGTTCCAGACTCAGAAACCAAACTCACTGCCACTGCACCAAGGGGACTCACAGCAACCCCACAGGACAGGGAAGAACCACTCCGGTGGGTTTCTGAGCTTGTAACTGTATAGGAGTAAAAGGCCCAGCTCCTCCCACAGAGTGGCTACAAACTGCTGGCCTTGCAGTTAGCAGCTCACAGTGTAATGCACCATGCTACAGGGGCTCCTTTACAGACTCGGTGCCGGGGTTGAGGGAGGCAAGAATCCGATGAATACATGTTAACTGGAGTAAGATGGTCATGAACTGATACATTATTATTTCACAGACATAGGCAAGGGTGATTACCGTGAAAGCAGGTTAAAAAGAGTTGGTATCAATATCTGAGGACTTCTGAGTTTCTTTTTGTGCTGCAGGAGTTCTAGGATGAGGGTTACTCTTTGCCAATTTGAACCTTCCACTTCCTGAACGGCTTCTAGATCCTGCGATTTTCTGGAAAACATTAAGTCAAAAGTTGGAAACACTCAAAAGCTAACAAAGATGGCAACAAATGTACAAACGTGATTGACACAATGGATGGACGGATGGATTGTGATGCGTTGTACGAGCCCCAATAAAATGATTAAAAAATAAAAAATAAACAGCAAAAAAAGAGAAAAGGCTGCCCTATTATGCCCAAGTGATGTGCAGCAAAAGGTCACAATGGTTTCCTATCATTCCAAGCTCTGAAGAATAACAGTCATAGCTCTTACTTCTGCTGCATTTTTTGCCTTCTTGTTTGCTGAATTGTACCCAAAGATTTAGTTTTATCTGGTGGCTCCAGTTCCATTCTGACTTGCTCAGCTTTAACGGAAATCTGAAATAATAAAACAATAACGGTTCATGTAGCTACAGCTGTTTAGACATTAATATATGTGTACACACACAGAGAAGGTATTCTGTATCTTGATTTGGATCTTGGCAACCTACTCATATGGGCACAAACCTATTTTATCATATGATGTTTATGTACTGTCACAATAATTAATCCCATAATTTTTACAATAAAAAACACACAACCACTTTGAATTCCAGGCCAATCTTTCCTCTCGGCCGATAATCCAACAAATACTTCACAGGTCCTCTAGTTGGCTGTTCACTGAGCTACAAGAACTTTGATTAATGCTTCCTTGTAAATGCTTTACAATGTTCCTTCTTAGGCTAATTGTCAACTCAATTCAACCAGCACTGAATTAGCACTGTGGCCAAAGTAGCCCGGGTGGTGCTAACAGATAACCAGTGGGCGGCTAACCACAGTGACAGGTTAACAGTTCAAATCCACCCGCCGTCCCACAGGACAAAGATGAAGGCATCTGTTCTTATAAAGACTTACAGCCTTGAAAACTTAGGGTCGATATGAATTGGAATTTAATTGATGACCGTGAGTTTTGGATTTGGTTCCCAATGCCTGCCAAGGAGCCTCTCTTGTCTTTCCCCATATTCCTTTCAGACACCATGCCGACAACAGGGCTGGCTTAAGTAAATGGTCATCCTTTCCATCATTTCCTTCCACCACCTACTTTCATGCTTCCTCAGGATCAAAACGGAGAAAAAAGGTGGGGCAAGGTAGACATCCAAACTCAAGATACACTAACATGAATTCAACTTCAGATTTTCATTTTAAACTAAGTTCTCTCGCTGCCATGAATTTATGGCTACACATGGTTTCTCTTGAGTCTTGAAGACAGCCCTGCCCTGGCTCTGATTAAGACGCGGATCAATGCGCTCGGTATGCACTTCCATACTCACGCCTCAGGGTGAAAACGCAATCCAGGACTCTTTCCAAATGTCAACTCAGCCACAGCCATAAGACTGGGAAGGCATTACAGAAACAATGCAGTCACAGCCCCAGGGCTTCTGTCCAGACAGGGCAGGAGCCTGAAATCCCCTTCTTTAAAAAGGCCCTGACATCCTAACTATCGGACTCTAATCCAAAGAAAACAACTGCAAAAGGACATTTTTCGGACAACCAGGGAAATATGATTTTGAATGGAATACTAGATAATATCAAGGAACTTGTTCTTTTTCAGGTGCAATAATGACACTGAAGTTCCGTAAGAAGACATTCACCTTTTCAACGATGCACACTGAGGTCTAAGGGGTGGACTACACGGTGCTTTGAGATGCACTGACAAAGGAATATGAGTAATAGGGTTTCTCCAGACTATGATCTATTTTCGTAAGTGCATCTTCTCTTCTCTGTCTCTCTCTCCCCCAGGTGGCTATTCTGATACATAGCTGGGGTTGGGTAAACATATACAACCAATGAGCAGCTTCTACAAGCCATCATAAATTTGTCAGTATATAACTACTTAAATCACATAGACTAATCTGTTACCTAGCTAAACAGAGACATTCACTCATTTCTATTTCCTACCTAAAACAGGCAGATCCCACTAGCACAAGTAAGACCCAGACAGATCTACCTAGTTAAAATGATAAATATTCCATGAAGTAAAAATGAAGATGGAGACTTGATCACCTATTTTCATGACTATTTAACAGTGAACTTTTAAAAAGTATTATAAAACAGAGGATATTTACATATATGGTGCTGTTTAGAACACACATTAATGAATAAATCACAGAAAGTATGCAACTTACCCCTTTAAAAACACTGCTAACAGTCTGAGCACAATGTGTGTTTTTACAGTTCACCAACAAATCAAACATCATTCCCAAAAGCCTCTGCTGAACTTTTTCATCTGCTATAGCTGCAAAAAACGGCTTTGTAATCTAAAGAGCAAACAAAGCAATTGAATTCAATGAACAAATCTGAACTCCAAAAATGGCCTTATAATGCACCCTTATCAAATTCTCCCTCACAATATAAAATTGTTCCCCATTTTATTCTTTCAACTGTAACTCTTTTTAGTTACTCATGTACAATATTGTTTTGCAAAATGGGTCAAGTAAATCATGTTCCTTTAAACACATCCAGTATGGCTCCCAGGGGCAGTTTAACACCTAGGAAATACACAACATTCCTCTAGTTCTCTCTTCCTTCCTCCCCCACTATTATGATCTCAGTCCAATCTCGCAATTCCTGCTAGATCACCAGTGTACAACCATGGCACAGACGAGTGCTTTCAGTACACGGAGTTCCGGAAAGACAAACCCCTCAGAAACAGTAATGGGAGCAACGTTCCCAGAAGGATAGGGAAAGGGAAGGGGGAGGAATGGATAGCAATGATGGCAGAATAACCCCAGAGGGGAAGAATACCAGGAGAGTAGGTGAAGGGATAGAATGGGCAGTATAAGACACGCATAAATAATAACAACACATAATATATTAAGGTTTGTGGGGCTTGCAGGGTAGGGGAGCGAGGGGTAAAAAAAAGAAGAGCTGATATCTAAGGGCTCAAATAGAAAGATAATATTTAGAAATTGTTGATGCTAATAATTGTACATGCCCACTTGAGATAATGGGTGTATGGTTTGTTATAATTTTGGTAAGTTTCCAATAAAATGAGTTATTAAAAAAATAAATCCATGTTGTATGAGCCCCTAATAAAATGTTAAAAAAATAAAATAAAAAATAAAAAAATTAAAAAAAAAAAAATCCATCTAGTATACCAATAATTTATCTTCACTAAGTAAAATATTACACATTGTGACATGATTGAAATTGCTTTAGTTTCTGAAAGAAGTTACCGACCTTCCCAAGGGCTGCAATCTGAACTGTTGGCATTCCTATGCCAAACTCCTCTGCTGTATGCACAGCTTTAATGAACAACTCTAGACTCAGCGGGTCCTTATGTAAAAGGGAAGCTGAATATTCATTATACTTTCCCAGAGCAAGATGTAAAACAATGGCCTCGTCCTTCTGGACAGCTGTGGGCTCTTTCTGCATCTTTTCTAGTAATTTCTCAATCATAGGCAGCAGATGAGAAAGCACCACCTAAAATTTGAAAAAATGTATTAATTGTTACCAATATTAATATAAAAATTTTTGCTTGCTGTATAAAAACATCCAGAGCTGTATCACCCTAGAAAAGGGGAGGTTAGTCTAGGGAAGAAGACCACAGATTTATTTGGCTTACCATCTACCATCCCTGATTAAGTATAGATATCTGCTCTTGCAGCACTGCTCCCCAAGGGGTATTATCACACACTCGTCTAGAGGGGTGGAAAGGCTAAATCAACAATGCAGTCCTCTTAATTCACATTAAGACGTGAGTCCTCTGATAGTTCCATCAGAAGGTACTCAAACGCTCTACATCTTTCATAGATAGAGCAGAGAAAGGATCTTGTGAATGTTTCTGAGAACAGGAAATGAAAACTACATTTTTAAAGTCTAAATATAAAATCAACACTGTCCAAAATATATTGTGTACTTCCCATTGATTTCAACTCAATATGGTTAATACTAATTCAAGCAGCAGGTATAGTCTTTAAAATCTAAATCAAATTATGGCATGTCCACTTCTTCAAATAGCTTTACTGAAATACAGCTCCCCTCATTCATTTACGTACTGCTGACGGCTGTTCTTAAGCTCCATTGGTAGAGCTGAGTGCTCACAGCACGGACCATGTGCCTGTATGTAGTTACCTTGTGTGTTGCTGAGGCAGAATAACGCTGCCCTGTAGGCTTTCCCAGGCTCTAATCTTCACAGAAGTAGATCACCAGGTCTCCACTCCACCCCCAAACCAGGTTAATCTTAGTTATCTGACCATCACTTAAAACAGTATGCTGTAAAGGTGCCTAAATATTTACTATGTAGCCCTTTACAAAGTTTGATAACTCCTCGTATAAACTATACTATGGATGACACTAAGCTGCTAAAGGTCTGCTCCCATCAGGAAAATATAATCCAATAAATAAGCCTTCACTCAATTGACCCATAATAGTTCTCTGACTCTGCAGTCAGGACTGGCATATATTTACAATTTTAATGCCTTCCTTGCTTTCTGATGGCATGTATTAGTTTGATGGCCACTTGCAGTGGTGAATGAATGTTATTGGGAACTTTGGCACATTGTTAGTGTAAATAGTGGCCAGTCATGAAAGAGTTTAACCTTTACAAATGAGTAATTCATGTAATGTGGTGCAGAGCTAGCCTATACTTGTACAGTTTCCTTTTCTCAACAGTGTGTTAAATTCTACACCAGTGTGTAAATTAATGACACTTTGATCAGTAAAGTAGGAGCCCTGGTGGAGTAGTGGTTACAAGTTTGAAAGCACAGCCACTCTGCGGAGAAAGAGAGGGTTGGCTTTCTACACCTGTGAAGAGTCAGAGTCTCAGCAGCTCACAGGGGCAGATCTCCCCTGCCCTGTAGGGTCATGTGAGTCAGCATGGACTCAGTGGCAGTGAGGGTGAACCACCCACACCATCATTAACAGTGTTAGTTACTCTTTCATTGAGATCAGTCTTCTGTGAGAACAAAATGACACCTATCACCTTTTCTCCCCCATAAAAAAATGTACTTACATTTAAAAAAATCAGCAAATGATTCCGAATCAGCCACAAACCTTTGGGCCTAAATATATTATTACCTTCTACGTGTTTTTCACTTGAAAATGATACACTAGCCAATATTTCTTGCAGGAGTGCATCCTTAGCATTTTTCCTCATGTGATTTTAAAATCCATTTAAAATCTAATTAATGATTAGATACACTTGGCTTCAAAACAAATAAAATCACCACTATTTGCCTTATCCATTCCGTACCCCAATTCTTCCATTAATAAGAAAATGGAATACTTCTGACTCCACATGTATAGTTCTTGCAAATGTCTTCCTCTGATGGGAAGGTCCAATCTTTAAAAGCGTTACACGAAAGTACAATGCCTTTACTACACACATACCTCATTGTTGACGTGCTGAAGTACCTTCAGCAAAACTTTTGCAATATAAGCTGGGTAGTGATACACACAATTAAGTAGGTGTTTGAAGGTTTCAGACAAATTCTGCTGAGATTTCGGTTTCTTTTCTCTCTGTAGCTCTTCAAATAAAGTAGCTAAATCCTAGGGTACCATAAAAAGAAAAGATGAAAAGGGTTAAGGAGCTACAAAGGTGAAATGTATTCATTATGGGAGATTTTTTCAAGTGATCTGACTTCTTAATGTCCCTTTAAACGTCTCCTTTAGCTTACTATCCAAAAAACCCAGTCTTGAAGCCAATAAAGACTGGAACTGAAATACTGAGCCGATGTCTCTAACTCTTTACTGTTTATACCTTCAAGACGGTAAGGGCTGAGGAACTGAACACACAGCCAATACCTCTGCTTTATTGTTTAGGTCTTCAAGACATCTTTTTCATGTGCCCTGTAAGCAACACCTTCACTACTAACTCAGTTTCGTTGGTACCATTGTCTTTTCAGAACGGGGGAGGAAAGAGCCTGGATCTACAAACTGGAGACTCAATGAGCAAGCCTGTTACAAAGACAGACAAGAGCACAGAATTCATGCACACACCACAGACGTACACACGCTCGTTTCTGCAGCTGTGGTTACCTGCACAACGTAGGTGGCATCGGAGGTGATCTCCTCTGCTTTAGGAACCAAATGGTCTACGATCAGCTGAAACTGGGATGGCACTCCACGGAGGGTCTGAAGACAGAGAACGGCAGCCCGGCGCACTTCCTTCACAGGGCTTCCCAGATTAATGAGCAGTGACATCACCACTGAGGCCAAAACCAAAAACCCAAGTCAATGCTTTGAAATCTGAAACAATACAAAAGGGCAACGCTCCTCCTCCTACCTAAAATCCCCTTTCTGAAATGTATCCACTGCTTATTACTCCAAAAAGACTTGAGGCATATGCCATCTGGACATGTTCTTTTGAAAATACATAAACAAGTGTACATGTTGTACCACCTTTCTGCACCAGTTTCCTGAAAGCATGTCTCTAAATAAATTAAATCACCCTTTGTAATACACAGAAGAGGCCTGGTGGTGTAGTGGTAATGCGTTGGGCCTTGACCGAATGGTCAGCAGTTCAAAGCCACCGGCAGCGTTGAGGGAGAAAGACAGCTTTCTGCTAAACCATTCCAGTCTCAGAAACCCACAGGAAGTTACTGAGTCAGCATTGACGGTATGGCAGTCAGTTTGGTTTTTTAAATACAAAGGACCCACACTGTATATTTCATATTTTTAAACCAGTACCTTACTGGTGAATACTTATATTGTTTCCAGGTTTGGGCATTAAAACAATATTGCAGGGAGACAGACACCAGAGGGCCAGTCATGGTGACTGGTGTGGTGATTTCTCTCTCTCTCTCCCAGGAGAAAACCCCATTTAAAGAGTGGAGGAGGGAGGGGAAAAAGAAGAGCTAATAAGAGCTCAAGTAAAATGATAATATTTTGAAAATGATGATGGCAACATATATACAAGTTAGGTTGATATAATTGATTTATGGATTGCTATATCTGTAAGAGTCCCCCAAATGACTTTTTTTTTATTTTTTAAATTTTATGCCTCTCAAAGTAAATCTTTATTTTGAGAAGGCAAAAACCTGAAGCTCTGGCAACATTCCTGGAAAGCCAAACCAGAAGAAAAAATGGGAGTGATCAGTTTGTCCAACAAATGTACAAATGTGCTTGACATACAACGGATGGATGTATGGATTGTGATGAGTTGTACAAACCCCCAATAAAATTATTTTTTAAAAAGGCATTTAAACAGTGACAAAGTTTCATTTGAAAGGTTTTTATAACATTAGATAGAATCTAGTACATTCTCAGGACGAGCCTCTTTGCATTTCAAGAGGATCTGCTGGTCATAAGAAAGGTAGGATAAGAAAATTCCTTTTGGTTCGGGGCCGGGCACGTGGGTGGTGGGTGGTGTGTGTGTGTTTTCGCATGCTCGCACTCGCAGCACAGCAGTTAAGCATTAAGCTAACTGCAATTACTCAGAAACCCACAGGGGCAGTTCTCCCGTCCTGTAGGGTCACTGATTCCAACTCATTGGCTGCAAGTTTGTAAACGATAGCAGGGCTAGTTTGTAACGACAGTCAGTTCAAGTAGGTATCAATGATCATATTAAGTACAGTGCACAAGATGTAATATCTGAAACTTTGAAGCACTGTATATTATATTTCCTTTTGGTTTGATGTTCCTTCTGACTTCTGAAGAACTTTTTTCACTTTTGCATTAGCTTGTGAACTTCCCACTAAGTCTTTCAAAATATATATATATATATGTATTTTATTGTGCTTTAAACAGCCATATTAAGCTTTGTCACCTACATATACATCTTTGCTTTGTGGATCAGCTAAAATATTTAACAAAAAAATATTTTTTGTAGATATGACCTTATGACAAGTTGGAACCCATCAGACTAAATCAAGATTTCTAGAACTCTAACAGGTGATAGTTAATCCAAATTGTCAAGATAAAACTAACACTAAATGCTTCTTTAAATTCTTTATGTGGGAATGACAGGTTGCTAGAATAGGGACAAAGGGAGTTGTCTTCCCTAGTGCCTGCGTTAAACAAAAATTAGTTGTCTATGCCACAATACTGGGGTTGGAAACTTCCTAATTAGGCACCCATTTGACACCTACGGGAAAGATCCTAACTGAGCATGCTCAGACACGAGCCCCCTAAGTCCAGGTAGGAGGTCCACCTGGGCGCACACACTAGGTCCAGCCACATGACATCATACAGGTAGGCCTAAATTCAGCCAGTAAGATCAGCCAAACTTTCAACCATGCCTCTCCAGCCAGAGGGGTTAAATACACAGGCCGCAAGCCATCAGCTCTTTTACTCTGCTCTTGTTCAGCCACAAGCTTCAAGCAGAGAGTGGGCATCTCTCTTGGCCTCTGGGGTTTCCATAATGCCGCAAGTGTGGGTCTGGGCTACTGTTTCTGTGGGTTTTACCTGTGGGTTTTCAACTGTGAACCCTTGTGCAGTTTCTGCGCACCTTGTATGCTTTCCTAAAATAGCACATGCTTTTGAGACTATAAAACCCGAAACTTCCCTTTTCCTCATAAAAGTCACTTGGCTAACAAACGTGCTTCTGTCACGTGAATTCTTTCCACGCCACTGCGAAGGAAGAACCAAAGAACCTAATCGGGAAGCTAACAGGGACAACACGGACAATGTCACGGTTATTTCTGTATGTGAGTTAACACTCAACAAAACGAGGAGGGGGGTTTGCTATAATTTCATCTATTCGGATCCAAGGATCGTTATTATCCCACGCCTAGAACACTGTCGAAACCCAGCCATTAAGATGCTTGGCTCTTCAAACCATTAGTAAGTGGACCTGGTGAGCTACACTTCGGGCTGCCACCTTCAGAGACAGCATCAAATTTTTCAGTGAACCGGTTGGTTAAAATGGACTTGTAATCAGGGATCTCTCTAAGATAGGTGGCTGGGCATAAACCCAATGTGGAAACCATAAACTTACATTTCTTAAGTGTTTTTTAATGTTCACTTGTGCAACAGTGATATTCTGATACCATGTTGCAATAATAAACTACCTTTCAGTTTATCTTTTCATAAACTTAAAACGGTCGTTAGGGCAGCAAAGCCAGTGTTAAATTATTTGACTCCCCCCACTGGTTGTATCCTCTCACCACATTTACCCAACCTGTAAACTGAACAAATTATCGAGAGAGGCTGGATTATATGAAGAATGAAGCACCAGAATTGAAGGAAGGCTTATTGTAACAATCGATGCTATGCAGCTGACACAACCTTGCTTGCTGAAAATGAAGAGGACTTGAAGCACTTGCTGATGAAGACCAAGGATTCCTCAGGACGGATTACAACTCAGTCAATGTGAAGATGACCAAAATCCTCACACTGGACCCATAGGTAGTAAAATGATCAACGGAGAAAAGATAAATGTTGACAGGAATTTGTCTTCCTTGGAACCACAATCAGTGCTCACGGAAGCAGCATTCACGAGATGGGTGAACCTGCTGCACAAGACCTTCGAGGGGACTGAAAAGCAAGCATGTTACGTTGAGGTCTCAAGTGCGCCTGGCCCGAGCCATGCTACTTTCAACGGCCTCATATGGCATGTAAAAATTCGACACTGAATACGATGAGAGAAGAATAGACGCATGTGAATTATGGTGCTGACAGAGAACGTTGAAAGTACCACGGGCTGCCCCACACAGACAGACCAACGTGTCTGGGAAGAAGTGTCGCCAGAATGCTCCTTAGAGGCTGCTGGGCCAGTGAAATTTCTTCTCGTGTATTTTGGACGTGTTTCAGGAGAGTCCGTCTCTGGAGGAGGACATCAGACTCGTCAAGCGGAGGGGCAGCAAAAAGAGGTAGGCCCTCCGGGAGATGGACTGACACACTGGCTGCAACCACGGCTCAGGCTCGGGAACAGTTGTGAGGACGGCACCGGACCGGGCAGTGTTCTGTTCTGCTGTGCACACAGGTGCTCGCTGTGGGCCAGAACTGACTGGACGGCGCCTCACAATATAGTCTTTTATCTGCTATGCCTCTCAATAGTCATCTTAGAGCTTAAACAAAGCAGTTTCCCTTCTTAAACTGTCTTAAACAAAGCAGTTTCCCTTCTTCCCTTCCCCAGCTAATTAACAACAGCAGAAAAATCCGTTTCTGGTAGAAAGCATCAGTGAGTCCAGCTGAACTAAGATGGTTTTGAAGAACTCTATCTGGAACAAAGCGCTATGTATACTTTCATGGAATTACTTACTTAGGCCTTACTGCAATCTACCTACTGGTAGTTTCTATTGTTCTAGAAGTGATCCAGTTCATATCTTAGCCAGATAATTGAATGAGAACCATTTTTTTGGTACTTGACCCCTAACCCAAAAGTGGCTGGTACTTACTCACCCAACAGCAGATGCCTGCGTAACAATTCAGCAAGAAAGCCTCCGTGAAGCAACTCTGCTCTGTGGCAAAATCAATCCAATGAAAACGGGGTTTGATTTTGGTTTCTTAAATCCTAAAAAAGAGCTTGGCAAGTTTTCAAACCCGCCTGAGTTGAGATTATCCTCGTCTCTTATATTTATAAAATAGAGTAAAATCCAAATTGTTGAAAAAGCAAATTCCCACAAAGGGTGGCTTCCGACAAAGAATCTGTTAATATTCCCTGTACCACGGAGCAGAGCTTGCTGACAACTTCCAAGTCCTAGCTACTGTCGTTGTCCTGTTTAAATGTTACTAACACCCCATATATAAGGACGTAGTCCACGCTTACTATTTTCTTCTGTTTAAAGGCCTTCCTTCAACTTTGAAATGAAAAAAAAAAGGGGTGTGTGTGTGTGTGTGATGGTCAAATGGTTTCATTCAAGGCAGTTTAGCCTTTTCAGTTGTTCGTTCAAAAGTAGCTTAAACCAAAGTTGCTTGATCCTAATCTGTGTGCTTAGTTGTAGGAAATTTAGTGCTACACAATTTATTGAACAAAGAAAGGCGCATCCTGGCCATATGTCTTCCATTAAGGTTTGTTTGTGAGTCGACGGCGTGGTCAGTGTTCTCCCCCAGCACCATCATCAAAAGGCGTCCATTCTTTTTTGGCCCAGCTTTCGCAGAGGAAGCCGCTGAAAACACCTTAGTTTGGGTCAGGCACATTTCAGCTTTCCAGTGACGTCTCTGCTTCAGCAGACTTAAAGGGTCCTCTGCTGGAGATTGACCCAACATTAATTCATAATCTGATTTGATAGGTGCTCACTGCACCAGGGGTGTTGACTGTAGATCGAACTGAAAGGAAATCCATAAAATCTTCCATATTCTCTCCTTTTATAATGATGTTGCTTACTGGTCCAGTGATGGGATTTTTTTGTTTTACGCTGATGTGTAATCCATACTGAAGGTTATAATCTGACTTTTATCAGTAAGTGCTTCAAGTCCTCTTTACTTTCCTTAAGAGGTGGTGTCAGCTCCATTATCAAAGGTTTTTCTTAATCTTACTCAACTCCTGTTGCTGCAATCACCCTCATCCAGTTCCTCAAATTATTCTCTCAGCCTACTGAATGTATTAACACAGCGGTGAAAGGAGACAACCCTGATGCCACACTTTCTCCTTTAAACCACACTGTATCCTACTACCTTTTGCTCTATATACAGGTTCCACATAGCACAGTTAAATATCCTGGAATTTATATTCTTAGCAATGTTATCTATATTTTTATGACCCACACAAAGGATGTTGCATAGAGAATAAAACACAAATAAAACATCTTTATAGTATTCTCTACTTTTAGCCAAAACCCATCTGATATCAGGAATTATATCCCCATTTCACATAGTCGAAAGGTGTAGCCTTTGATAATACTGTATATTGATCATTAAAGAGATAAAAGGTGATAGTATCTTTTCCTTCGCAACATCGGAACATTTTTCTAAATATATAAAAGTGATGGCCAACACTTCCGCAGACTCCTTACGGTGAGCGGATGGCTAGAAACTCCCCGCACGCTCCTGGTGAGGGTACTGCGGGCAGGCGCAGCAAGCAGGTGGCCCTCAGAGTCCACTGAAGGTGCCTCTTGCATTTGCAGTGGAGAGCTCTGACATGTCCTTGCCACAAGCATGTGCAAGTACTTCGGGGATGGGTAGGGGTGCGGCAGAGGTAGAAGGGGTCCTGCAGTGATACCAGTGGAAAAGCAGTCTTTCTCTCCTACTAGAGACAAAGAACGTAATTCTCTCAAGGGCAACGGCTTTCACTGTCAAGTACACTGGCTATGACATCCTTCATTAGGAAACGTCATCTCTAAACATACATACGTTTTTGAAAACTCAGTTTAACAGTACACACTGGTTTCCATAAATTATGTTACAAGGCCATCATGAAATAACGAAATACTCAGCAGGCATTTCACAAATGGCCAAATTCTATATTTATTAATATGGAAAGATGCCAAAATGTATAAATGTATAAATTTATACAAAATGTATAAATTGGAAAATTAAAGTGAAACAGTATTCACTGAACCTTGAATTATCATTCACTTTGCTTTAAAAACATTCGTAAAGAAAAGATTTTGGGGAAATATACAATCAAGGGCATTTCCAAACATCCCAAAGGCCACTGCTACTAAAAACACTCTGGTCTGAAGCATCAATCACATCCTTGACCGCCACTTACATTGTTACCTGGTGTAATTCTGCCACGTCCTCTCATCTGTCAATAGCTTTTAAGTCAAACGGTCATTTTCATCATCACTTTCCTCAACTTCATGAAAGTGCTTTTACAGAATTCGGGTGCTTCATTAATGAGACCTCGAACCCAAGTTGAGGATAGAAAGTAGTCAAATGAATACTGAATTGTGTTATGATCACCTGATTTCTTACTATGATTCTGTCATTGCTGGGTCTCAGAGAATGAATGTATGCATGTGTCTATATATAAAAAATTTTAAATCGCATGTAGTCACCAGTCATGCCCATGATATTTTAGTGTTTGGTGAAATTTTTAACTAACAGCAATACTTAAAAGTGATCAGAAAAAGGTTTTATACTGTGTGCATGTTAAGTTACTTCAAAGAGAATAAAGTTCTACTTTTCGAAACTACAACATACACAGCAAACAGTAAGAAAGCAGTAACAGTTGGTCAAGACAGAGCATGTTTATTTCCAATACCTGGGGACGAGACGGACGCCAGCTGGTGTTTAACCTTTGCCTTCTGAGGGGAGAGCATTGTACAACCAATATAAAGAGCTCTAGTCTGCAGCGCTGTGCTTACACTGCAGCGGAGTGGATTTGAAAGGCTGGAACCATAGGTCCATAAAACAGAGAAGAACTTGAATAACTGAAAAACATCTTCTAGATGTACCTAGTTTGGAAAAAAACAAAACAAATTTATTTAGTCACAAGAAAAACTGTACAGTGAGAGAGGGCAAGCAACATGTTTTGCTTTGTCTGAAATCAAATCAAACCCACTGCCACTGAGTTGATCCCAAGTCAGTGTCCCTACATACAATTCCCAGGACTGGGAATCCTCATGGGAGTGGACCTCATCTTGCTCCCATGGGGCAGCTGGTGGGTCTCATCGGCTAACCCTGAGGTCAAGCAGACCCTTAAAATTATCCTGTGTTTGGCATTTAAACCATTGCAAATGATATAAACAAACAGTGATATTGAGAGGCCTCTTAATAATATTCTACTTTATTCAACACTCTGAGCGAAAAAGACAAAGGCACTATGTAGAAAATGAAGACAAGTGTGGTGTCTGGGAACTTAAATAGAATGATCAACTTGTGTCCAATGCGAACAATGAACTGATGACCGAATTGGCAACACAGGGGTCACTGGTGCCGGTGAGGACATTTCTTAGTTGAGTGGCTTTATGCATGCCCTCTATGTACATCAGTTTTCTCAGCTGTGAGCTGGAAATTGACTGTGATGCTGTGATTATCAAAGAAAAGGAGGGCGTTAACACATTATAGTAGACAAGTAGCAACGTGCCTGATCTGTCCGACCTACTGATAACTGGTCCCTTCCGGGCTCTACCGAGGCTACGCTTATTCTCATCTACTCACCACTATGTGGAAGTCTACTTTCGTTTTCCCATGTGCGAACTGTGGAAACTAAAATAATCTGCAACTCCTTCTCAAAATATCTGTGTGCCTGAAAGAGGATGAATTTAATACCTTGATGAAAAGTTTCAGCAAAACCCTGAAATGAATGGCATCCGCACCAGCGAGAATAAGCTCAAAGAGCTCAATAAGTATGTGTAGGTAGTCCCTGCTGTCATCCTTCAGATGGTGAAGATTCCACCATCTGTCATCTAGGTGGACAGGAAGAGAAAGGTTACGTAACACATACGCCCAGGTGAACAAGATGCCTTTTAAGCACCATAAATAATCAATCATGCAGTTAATGTATATTTGCTTTTCCAGAGTCCCAAACTGAAAAGATCCAAACCTATCTTACCTTTAGGAAAACATTTAGGAACCTTCAGTGCATGAATAAAATTTTTTAGTGCAAATACAAGTAAGACAGAATCTTCCACAGCAATCATCTGACCCGTATGGAGCTGTTCTATGTAATGCGCCCATAACTCGACTGGTGTGCTTCTGTCTAACATCAGCTCAAAATGCCACTCTGGAGGTATCTCCTAAAAAGTTAAAAGAAACAAAAATCCATACAAATTTAAAGAGATTCTTCAGCCTTTCAAACGAGAACTTCAAAAATGTAGAAAAAGTGAATTAAAATGAAAATAAAAAGATAAGCTTTATGTCTACTATAAGCATCATCAAGTTTGTGCCAATTGTGTGATAGTAGCCATTTAGCTCTTCCCTAAAGAACTGAAGCTCTGGGAATTTAACATCAATGCAGTCTTTTCAACATTACCTGAAGAAAACTGGGTGCCCCTTACAGATTTCTTAAGATTAGTGAACAAAACAAAGTCAGACGGAGCCAAACCAGGGCTGTAAGCGATGACTAATGATTTCCCATAGAAACGTGTGCAGAACTGTCCTTGTTTGATACAAGGAATGAGCGGGATACTGTCGTGATGGAGAAGGGCTCGCTCGTGAAGCTTTCTCGGACACGTTCTGCTAAAGCGTTGCTAACTTTCACAATACGTAGATTCTTTTCTTTGGCCCTCCAGAAAGTCAAACTTGAGAAGGAAGAAATCGGCATGTGATTACAAGACACTGTATTAGTTTTTATGAGACTGCATGAGATGATGCATCCTGTGGTGTGATATCACAAATTCTCTTTTGACTTTTTTAATGGAGGCCAACCCTTCTTAAGTATATTTCTGGGTTCCTGGGTACTTTTTGAAGTTGCCTTTCTCAAAATAATTCCATGCTTGAGCATGGTGGGATCACATATTCAGGTGTTTTAAGTTACACACACCTGCCAAAGGGTCTGCCAAGGCGAAGCAAGGTCCAGAGAGAAATACAAGGATAAATAAAGACGTACATCTTCTAGGGTTCTAATTCACACATGCTGGGTTTATTCCAAACAAAATATGTTCAAACATATCGCGATAATACGTGAATGGCTACAGACAGGTTCTCTCAGCAATAAGCACATGTCTAATTAGGGTACCTTCAAACAACAGCATTTTTGAGTCACGGGGAAAAAATGATTCTGAGGTTAGGCTAATAGGAAACCCCACGAGTGGACAACTTTCCAAAGCACTTAAAGTTTTGCAACACATTTACAGTAATGCTGTTTTGAATGTTTCAGATGTGTTGGTGCAGGTGGGGAAGACCTCGAAGATGAGTCAAGAAAGGGAAGACCTAATTAAGAAGACATCCTTGCTGACAGCATGAGCTAGGGAAAGAAGACAGCAGAGTGGATATTGTTAAGAGGTGTTATTGTAGTTGCCAAATTGGCTGCATTTCACAGTGAACCTATGTACACAAGGTACTGTCAGCTTCAAAATCACTGTTTGAGCCTATTGTTATAGTCACCAAGTCAACCCATTTCCAGTGGGTCTTCCTCTTCTTCACTGACCTTCTACTTTATCAAGCATGGAGTCCTTTTCTAGGAATTGACCGCTCCTGATAACATGTCTAAAGCACCTAAGGGGAGGCTCCTTATTCTGGCCTCCGAGGGCGTTCAGCGTATGTCTTCTAAGACAGATCTGTTCATTGCTCTGGCAGTCGAAGGAGTCAACGCAATTACTAATACTGGGATCGCACATGGTTCAGTATTTGCAGGCATAAGCAAACATCTCGGCCTCAGTAAACTTTTGGACTGATGGCTGCCAATCAATTTTTAAAATAAGATCAAGCCTAATGAAAATGATTTTATGAAGTTGGAACTGGAGATAAATCTTAGATTTACAAATATGATCCAGGATTTCCGAGGGAATCTAATGAGCCAGTTTAGCTCAAGGAAAGAGAGGTCAGCTTAGAAGTTAGGGTGATGATTGATAAGATGTTCTTGAAGGAAACAGGACATTCAGGCGAGTTTATGAAAAAAAGAAGAAAATTTAAAATGGCACTGATAAAGGCCAGAAAAGTTGCATGGAGAAATATTTTTATCAGGACAATCAATGTACCTGGCTCTGTCTTCGAGGGTAAAAATCGCTGTCCTAAGAGAATGTTGTAGGGAAATCTTACCAACCACTCTACAGCTTTGATCTCATACTATTAAAAATCTTTTTGTTCCCCAAACTCAAAAAACATTTAAAAGGAGCATGATTTGTGCCTCTTAGGGATGCCCAAACTGCCATTTTGACATGATATAAATTAAAGAACATAATTCTTTGGGAAAAGAGTAGAGGGATGAAAACATCATCTTTAGAAATGTACAGACCTAGATGGATGATAAACAATAGCTTTGTATTTTTTATATTTCCGTTTAATAAAGTTTTCTATAATTTTGTGGCAATTTTTAAACCAACTTTTTAGTACTTAACCAAAAAAAAAAGTAGACACTAAGAAAGGTCCTTCTGAACACATGAATACAACATCCCGGCATGTACCAAGGAACCAACAGAGAAGTCTGTGGGGCCCGGCCTGCCTTCAGAAGAATGCACTTCAGAGGACAGCACTGGGCTACAGCGTGGGGAGAGGGGTGCGTCGGATTAGAGCACATGGGAGAAATGCAAAGGGATGGAGAGGGAGGAGAGGACATCCTGGCTCACCAAGCCCCGAGGACGATGTTCCTGTTCGGAGCAGACAATGCACGGGGAGGACCATAGGGCTGTCCCCACCACGGGACACGGTGCCCCTCACTGAACCATGATGCTGCAGGGGACAGCACTGGAGAC